ATAAATAAATAATATTTTCAGGCTGAGAATAACTGAAACCACAGGTACTGATTCCACAGATCCCGTAGCCCTGCTATATATATTATTATGGGCTGTCCAATGCTTGGATCCATCCAGGAACCCACAATGATCTGATGAGTATAAGGGGAATATCTCTAAAGAGAATGCTCCTAAGATATAATGATGTCCTCTGGAATTTCTCACTTTTCAGTGAAAAGAAAATGCTTTACCTGTAGTATGTGAGGACTTCTAAATCGGCTTTGGTGCCCTCCTTAGCTTCTTGAGCAAGATGCCTGATTGCTTTACCATGAGGTTCCTTGTTGCTGTCAATCCAGTAAAGCCAAACTTCTTCTTCGTCCATATCATCGGAGAGAGTGGGGCAATCCAAAGGGTTGTCCATTTGCATTGAAACCAGCCTTAAAACAAGCAGTTCACACTGTATCTAGCAACCGTCTAAATCAAGGAGCCTGAGTGAGGCGATGTAAAATGATGAAATGGAGATCTCAGTTCACTTACTTTGTCTGAATGAGAATGTCAGCATTCCCTGGGCTCAGCATATATTTACAAATAAGTTCCTGAGTGACTGGGATTGCAGTGGTGTTAGAAACACACAGATCTGACAGATAGTCCAAAAACCTTGAAATAAGAAATTAATTAAGAAGAAAAGGAGATGTGTCACACTATAGGATTTTACAGAAAAGAATCAACACAATGGTTATCAATAACTTCCCTTATCCCTGAAATACTGACTCTGTGATTATTGTTAAAATGATTTTGTGGCTAAGGTCCAGCAGGGTGCTTCTGCGGAAGGAACAACTTCCATCAGAAGAAATAAAAACAGTGATGATCTCTGTCCTCCCTTGGGTGCCCTTAAGATCAGTTCCAGAAAGCTGGGAAACTCCCTGGAGCCAGCTTGTGAGTGGCATACAGGGCGACAGGGGCAGAGAAGGGACAGAAAGTTCAGTTGTGCCAGCAACTGAATACTAGCTTGAACCTGGCTTTGGAGCCATTGTGATAATTCTGCACAGGCCTACAAGTTCATTGGTGCAAGTCCCCAAATAAAATGATGCTCAGTGTAATAAAGAAAGAAAGAAAGAAAGAAAGAAAGAAAGAAAGAAAGAAAGAAAGAAAGAAAGAAAGAAAGAAAGAAAGAAAGAAATAGGCTGCTTCAAACCTTGGCTCTCGATTTCTCCTCAGTAAATTCACAAATGTCTCTATTTCTTTAGCTGTGATATGTTTCTCTAGTAGCTTTCTGTTGTTGTGCAACAAAGCTGTGATAGTGTCTTCTGCCAAGATATCATAGCCAATTTGGGACTGCATGACGCAGAAGTTCTTAGCGATGTATTCCTGGAAGAAAATCCCAGGGTGGTCTGTCAAACAGCTTGAAAGACTGAAGGCATCACACTCTCTCCCCACCTGTTTTTTGTTTCTTTTTCTTTTTTGTTTTGTACTAGGCTTGTTAGACTAGGAGATAAAAGATTGCTGTTTCTTTCTTCACGTTACTAGACATTTGCTTCACGTCTCTGGATTTTATTCAGTTTCTCTCATGCTTTTTCTCAAGGGCCTGAGGCAGGCAATGAGACTTAAAAATAACAACCCATCATAAAAGCAAAACGGCCTAATCCATTTCACTTAATGCTTGCCTGATTAATTTTCACCACACAAAAGACCAGGATAAAGATGAAAATTTTGCTCTGGAATCTAGACAGATTTTTAAGAGGGGCCTGTTTCAGAAGTGGAGGGCGCCAACAGGAATGATGCCCCACAATTGCAGGACGACACACCTTACAGCATGCATATGTCCCCTGCCTGATTTTGTGGTCCATAAATCTCCCCCCGAAATTTCTTTCACACATGTAGAGGGTGGTGGGAATGGTTTTTTTGTTGTTGTTGTTCAGAACAAGAAAAGTCTACAACAAACTTTTGTTGTTTGAAATTGGCACATAAAATGAGCAAAGTGTTCTTGCTTGACCTCAGCAATCATAGCAGCACAAAGGACAAGACAAAACAGAAGGAGAACTTCAAAGTTATGCAAGACCCAAGCCACTGAAGATTAAAAACACATAAATAAAACCTTTATACTAAGGATTTTTAATATGAAAAACTACACCTAAGATTGTGCCCAGAAGTAAATTTAGAGTAAGCACAGATGCTTGAGTCATCTCTCAGTGATGAAGATTAAAACACTTTCCTTGTTCCCCAAAATACCTTGTCTGGTCAGCATACTGTTAACTCTGATATAAATACAGCTTCCCTGTCAAGGATGCCCTGCCATGACCCACGAGTTTCACTTTTGCAAGCTCTGGAAAATGAACATGCCCAGGCAGATTTTAAAACACCCCTTGTCATGAACTGGATGTTATTTCATAGGAGTGGTGGGATTTTTCCAGAAGATGTGTCCGGATGGCGACATCTCAGTTGACTGCTCTTGGAGGCAAATCAATAAGCAAGGAGGATCTGGGCCATTCTCTCAGATGATCATGGAGCCCTTCTTTTAAAGTGGAGGTCTCTCTGCTATTGTGAGGTAAAAGTGTCTCCACCCTTTTGTCCCTCTACTGGCTTCTATTTGGTTAAAGATGTCAGCAATATAAAGACAAACTGACCAATCAGTAGGAAATATCTCTTTGGGTGTTGGACACACAGGAAAATAGGCTACTTCATTAAACTATGGCTGAAATCCTGTTACTTAGCGTAGTAAGTCACAACTAGCACAGCCCCACTGAATCAGTCAGGATTTCATGCGTCAGCTCCTCCATATGTTCCACTGATTCAAAGGCATTTCTCTAGTTGTGACTTCATACACTAAGCAATAGGATTTCGGCTTATGCTCACTTTTCTTGTTCTTCTCCTGACAGAGGAAGAATGCTATCATGGCTATACTAATTTTGGATGAAGCACCTCACAACAGCGATGCTACATTGCATCCAAACTTTAATCTTGGGTTTTAGGGGCCTGGCCTGTAGACTGCCCCATCGCAGTGCTAACATCCATACATTAATTCCACCTGCAGTTTATTAACTTCAGGTAACTACTTGTGCTACAGAACTACCAGACGGCCTTTCAACTCTGCAGTCTCACATTACTCTATTCAAAGTATTTAAATTCAGTCAATGTTCATGGAATTGGTATTTTGTAGCCTGAGTATTTAGCTTCCATACTCCGGCATCACCTTCTTGTCAAAGTCGTTCCATTGGATTCTATGAATGCACGCCCGAGGACCTACGCACTGTATTTTGTTATGCTTAACCATACAAAGAAACAAAAGGCCAACCAACCTGATTTTTTCTGTAGTCCTGCTGGGAATGCCGGAGGATTCTATAGCAAAGCCTCAGCATGTATTTGTATGGCGCATATCTCTGGTCACCCAGATCTTCAAGTCTCAGCATGGCTCCTTCTCCTGCTTTGTCTTTAAATGGAGTTTTTAAGATTCCAAATATCTGTATAGACACATAGACATCCAGGAATAAACATCACTAGTAGCAGTGTGATGTTAATGTCAGACATCGGTAAAACAAACAAAAAAGTGTCTATACATGTTATTGCTGGGAACTTAATGCTTGCCTGATTCAGTTTGACTGAATGAAAAGAAAAATACAGTATTTACCAAGTTTGCATCATTTAAGGGATCTGGGAATGGAAGATAAGAAAAAGAATACCAGAAGATATGTCTAAGTTTGCAACCTAAAGGAGCAGTTATATCATCAGTTTTAATTAGGAAATGTCACTGCCAAAAAAATTCATCAGCATATGAAACAGAGAGCAATGCTTGCATTTAGACAAGCAACAAGGAGAAAATACCATTGCAGAAATAAATGAGGCCAATATGGTACCATTGTTTACATTTGTCCTAAACAATTTTCATTATATCCCTAGAAAGTTCCCATTTGCTACATTTCTGAAATGTACCTGTAGCTTTTAACAAGGAAAATAGGAACCTTTCTCCATATTTTGCAGAATATGAATGTGTTGTGCTGTCTTTAGAAAGACATATGGAGAAAAACAATCCACGAAGGTAAATCATTTTTGTACAAAAGAACATGTTCCATATACAACATTACCATTAGTTACATACCTGTGCCAATATATTTTGTTCCCTCATTAATTTCTGCCTTTCTCGGTTCGGCTTAAGGACTACCACATCCAAAACTTCTTGGCCATTATTGGGCACATCAGCAACAAAGAAAATGAGATCTTCCAATAGTTTGGTTACAAACCTAAGTTGAGTTTGAAGAAGTGTGGTATAGTGAATAATAATGAATAATATCTTCCACATAAGCTTTGACCTTTACTTCTACCTGATCCAATATAACAATTCGTATTTTTCTGGTTTGTGGTCATTACTGATGAAAAAAAAATCTGGATCTTTTAATACACAATGCAGACTAACACAATATTTAGCAACTCTTGCATCCTTAAAAACAAGAATGGAGAAAGTTGTAGGCACACTTTAGCTAAACACAGTTGTAATGCAAAACAATGGTTTATGAATATAGCCTCCTTTGACACTGCCCATTATCACCTGAGATATCTGAAAAAGAAAAGATAGCCAATTTCATCTAACCCCATCCTTGTCACATACGTACTTAGCTGTATGACCTTTTAAATGGTCTCAGGACCGGCGTTAATGTTCCCAGGGATTTTAGGAAATCTTTTGTTCATAAGCATGTATTTCTCATGTCGATCCTTGTTTTATACCTGTATACCCTGCCTTTTGCTTATGAAAAATAAGCCCCATTATCACTATTTTGTGAATTCTGTAGCATAATTTTAGACATCCATTTCCCACCAATCTGCACCCCTATAACTTATCCTCATTCTTGCCTGCTGTGTCTGGATTATAAAGATTAGAGGGACTCCCGAGGAGAGACAGAAATATGTCAAACAGAGAATGGTGGCAGCGATTCTTCCTAAGCAGTACTTGTCAAAATTAATACTTGAAATGTTTATCTATCCACACACAATGTTAAAGCACGTTTCCTCAAAGAGACATAATGGAAAGCTGTCTGCACCTAAGAGTAGAAGTGAAAACACTGAGCTTCCTCTTCTTGATCATGTGAAAGGCGAGGGAAAGAATATACAGTACTTTTTCACAGAATCCTAAACTACATTTTAGTGTTGCATCCACATATGGTCAACAAGAAACTGTACGTACATGAGCTGGGCTTGGAAATTCGGATAACTCTTCTCTAGCCCAATAAACACAAATTTACAAATATGTAATAAGTTGAGACTGCCAATTTTTTAAAAAATTAAAAATGTGAAAAATAGTCTGCAACATTTTGGCCACCATACTTGTACTGACAAATAATTATGGCCAATAACGTCTGCCTTATGAGTATAGAAATCTTTTTTTGAAATTATATATGAACAATAAGTGTTTGCTTCATAGCATTCTAGCATGGAAGGGAGTGAGGAAAGCTAAGAGGTAAGGAAGGACCACTAACCTTCTTTCATTTTGTGTTATGGATCCATTCTCCAGCTTTTTAACAGTTGACGCTAATACTTTGTTGGCATCATTTGCAAAATCTAGATCTCTAACCTCAGACAGAGGAACAGATACAATAGCAAATGCTTCCTTGTCTTCTTTTGTCTGGCATGTTCCAATCTACAGTATTTGGGGTTGGGATGGGGAGGACAAAATCACTGTTTCATTTATTTACTTCTGTTAGTCATCTTACAGATCACATCCCTCAGGGAGATATACAAGAAAAATAAATAAATAAACGCATATATACTGATATCATTGTATCATATGTAACATATGAATATAAACTGATAGAATAATGAGCTAAACACCACAAACTATTAAAAGCATCACAGGCTAAAACAAGTGTCATCAGAAAATCTAAACCAACAGAGATGGTATCACTTAAGCATACAACACAGCAGCAGAAATATACTGTAAAACCATTAAAAAAGACAGAGAGAACAGAAAGGTCTTTGCTGCCAGAAAGATAAACTACATAAATACCTGGCAGGTTTCTTTGCAGGAGGTATTCCATAACATTAAGATTATTAATGATAATAATTTGCTATGTGTAAATTAAGTTTATCACTTGGTGCATTTACCTTTAACATCACAGGCCTTTCTTCATCTTTGTCTATCGGAATATTGGTACTGGTGACCCATGTGTTGGTGCAAAGGTGTCTCAGTCGAACATACGAATTCCTTAAGGAAAATAAATGAAAACAACTTTTCCAAAGAAAGTAACCTTAAATCCTTTGAATATAAAGTACTCTACAAAGTTTACCATAAGCTGCAGTCATGTACCTGTACACTATTTTGTTTTTTTTTTCAAAAATTATTTTACCCCACTTTTCTCCTCAAAAGGACCCGGGGCAGGTGGCTATCTATGGAAAAAATGACCTATAGCTACTTTCAGAACCATCCTGCTTACACCCCAGTGACATAACTGTTTTAGTTTCTTAGGTCCATTACTCTATTTGAAAGAGAAAAACACAACAGTCTTGCTGCATCTTAAGGCCTAACACAAGTTTTATTTGGAAGAAGCTCTTGTGGACTGCAGCTTTCTTCATTGGATATAATAAGCTTTCATATTTATCTGTTAGAAAGAGGAGACTGTAGTTATTCCCAAATGTATACATTGTGCATTTGAACCTCCATGGAGAACACCAGTCACATGATAAGCTTGTTGTGGACATAAGGGTGCATACCTAGCAAACCTATAGATGTATGAAGGGAATTTGTGGTAAATTGAGATGTTTGATTTACATATATTGCTACCTGAGCCTTCCTCTAACTTTTTTACTGTAAACTATATGACGAGAAAAATGAATTGTGATCTATTATTCAATCGAAGACAACTAAGCAAGAGAGATAAAGTCCCTGCAAGTTATCACTTCTTCTAAACCCACAGGTGACAGTGGTCCAAGCTAAGGGAGGGACACTTCATCCTGAAATGTGGAGATGAGGTGGCCCCTCCCACACCATACACTACCCTTACTTGCACCCATTTGTCTCTTATTGTCCCACTGTCATATTTCAGTGGTTTAGTCTGAGGTAAATACCATGTGCCTTTGTCTCCGCTTTCCCCTGCCACACACAAGGAGAGCAAAGGATCTGAGTTTTCGGGCACAGAGTGAGATGGTGCAATGAACTGTGTTGTGCCAATACTGTTGTACTACATGTTATGGTTAATCTCTCAACCATTACCAACCACTGGCCACTATAGCAGACTGCAACAGAGGGAAACGGGGTGGGAAGCAGGGACAAATCAGTCCCACCCCATGAACTACTTTGTAGTTTTGCTGTTTTCTCCCCTTTTCCTTTTGCATTATGTCTTTTTATTAAAAAATTGCAAGTCTGTAGGAACAAGACTATACACAAATACAAGTTCCTATACATATGTACATCTAAATGTACCATCCTGTATATAAAGCAAGTACCTTGGAACCAGGCAGTCAGCTCGCTGAAGAGTAGTGGCATCCAGTTCAAAAAGAGAGGCAATGTCATTTCCATGTGGCACCGACACCAAAGTGTACATAATCTTCTCCCCTGCCAGTCGTTTCTTCTTTGAAGAGAGAAGGTCACTGTCTCTCTGCCGAGGACAAACAAGGATTATTTGGTTTATGCAGGATCCCACTGTAAGTCTTGAACTGATTTTTAATTAGGTTGTTACAATGGTGGTAACCTAAGGACCAGATAAGACAAAATGGCTCCCGAGTAGTTGAAAGGAAGATCAGGGAATAGGGGATCATCCTAGGCTGAATGGGAAAAGTCTTCCTTGAAGATAAATGTTCACAGTTTTAATAGTAATAGCCAGGTGGGCAGAGTATTTGCACTGTTAAAGTGTGCCAGTGTGCCAGCTACACCTGTTCCAAGAGATGTCTGGTCTGACTACGGTGACACATGCCTTAGTTAC